AACTTAAAACTAAAAATTCAATAAATATATTCAAATCACATATCTTCAACATAAGATAGACAAATCTGAGAGAAACACCAACGATTATGACATAACTTGACCTGAAATTCCATGAATATACAAATCACATATCTTCCAATATAACAAACACAAATCTCAGAAAAACACAGACGATTTAGCCATAACTTAAAACAGAAAATCATATGAATATTCAAATCTCATATAATCAACATGATGAACAAATCTAAGAAAAATACATAGTAGTTTTCACATATAACTAAGAAAACACAAAACGATTACCAGATTTTCTCATCAATACCATACAATCTGAAACAAAATTCAATCTCATATCATCAACATACGATAAACAAATCTAAGAGATATACATACTAGTTTTCACATATTACTAACAAAACACAAATCGATTACCAGATTTTCTCATCAATATCATACAATCTGAAACAAAATTCAATCTCGTATCATCAACATACGATAAACAAATCTAAGAGATATACATACTAGTTTTCCAAATTACTAACAAAACACAAATCGATTACCAGATTTTCGCATCAATATCATACAATCTGAAACAAAATTCAACAAAATGAAGAGAAATGCAATAGATCTAACCTTTCACAAACGGAAAAATGAGAGAAAGAGCTTCGCTAAAACCCTGGCCGCGTATGGAGAATAACAACGCAAACCACAAGTAGGGTTTCAAGTGAGGTATGAAGGGACTTTTTATAGTGGTGAGAGCATATCAGCTAGGGCTTTCTGTGCGGCACTCTGTATATGTATATTTACATAAATGTCCCTATTGTTTGTTTATAATTTCCATACGTAAGTGCTTGATACGTGGTATACTATAATAATTGTCCGTTCATATTTGATTTGAGGTATTAGTTATATTTAAAATTATTTTATTCGTACTAAAATAGTGATGGGATGAATATTATCTTATATAGAAGGTGGGATGATTACTACTATCTTTTTTATTTTATATAGAAAGTGGTATATAATAATCTCATGACATATTTCGATTCATAAAATATACTTTGTACGTTCATTTCTATTTGTTATACTTGGATTTGACATACTCATTAAGAAAATTATAATTGATATGCTTATTTTATCGTACTATATTAACTGATGTTTAGTATAAGATCTTGAAAAGTGATTTAGAAATTAAGTGTTTAATGCTAAGAGCAAAATATGAAAGATTTTTTTTTTCTTGATATGTTTAAAGTGATAAGTAAAAGTGAAAATATTATTTTTGAAATAGTACTAAACAAGTAAAATTGAACGAAAAATGTATTTGTTTATCACATATATCTTGTATATCAAAGAATTGTATTATAAATATACTGAGTGGATACCTGAGTAACCCAATTCAAACTCATTAGATGGAAATAAAACAAGTCCTGAATACTTGAAACATATATAAAAAAAAAAAACTTTTTGCATTATAATAAATATCTAACGACTATTAAGGTATATAGTGATTTAATTTAAATCATCGGATCAACTTAAAGTAAATTCACAACTAAGTATATTTTTAACCAATAGTGGAGTAGTATAATCTTGAAAATTATCCAAATAGGCGTGCATTGCTCCCTTTTACAATGATGTTTGAGTTAATTGATTTCGATACAAGACTGAAGAAAACATTATATAACTCCAAATTTCTTGAAAAATATTGCAATTTGATCTAAATCTTTGACATTAATACATATACATATATACATTCCAATAGTTAAGCGATAATAAGAAGGATTGGGAGTGTTATGTATCATAAAAAATATCGACATCTTTTATGAAGTCATATAACGCCATTAGATAATTAGTTATTAGTGAAATTGTCACAATTAACTAAATGAAATCAAGAAATATTATGTTAGATCCACTTATAAACGATATCACTAGACAAACAATTGTAAGATCATCAAGGAAATGTGAATATATATAGCCAAGGACAAGCTATTAGGAAGATAACTTTATATGAGAAATAGAAAATCTCCAGATTGAAATTTAACGAAAATAAATAAATTTATGCATGACTAATCAACATGATCAAATAACTCAATTCATTCTTATAATAAAATAATATTCAATAACAAGAATAAAACTTAAACAATGTATACTTAGTATACTTTTAAGGTTCACTTATGTAAAGTGTTTAGCAATTTCAAGGAGGATAATTATAACACCAAAATTCTCTACACATTCATAATTTATAATAAGGCAATGTTCATAACTAGAATTATAACTAAGAAAATCAAAGATGATTAAGAGTTAATTATGTGACTTATGTATGTTGTCTAGATATAATAAATTTTAACAATTTAAGAATGTCACATTGTCAATTAACCAAGTATACCTTATATATATTTACTATGTGTTGGTGTAATACACATAGTAAACAAATCTTTAGGCTGAGACGCGAATATCTCGCTCTCTTTAAGGAGACTCAATCCCACTGCGGCATAATCTACATCGATCCAGCAGTATGTCTCTTGACTTGTACCCTCCAGGATACAACAACCTAACAACGTAACGTCGTACGACTCAAGCAACTCCGGATTAGTTGAAGAGTCCAAAGCTCCACAAAAAGAACACCTTCTTCAAGATATAATTACCCTCTTTTGTATATGGTGAATATAGTCGAAGACCTAGAATATTATTCTTTGTCTCAACTCTCTCTTTCACTACTACACACTAAAATATTATTTCACACTTCACATATTTTTTGGCTAACGCTATCTCATCTTTGTTAGGGTCTTTCACAAAGGAAGAAACACCACTATTTATAGGTGAAGAAATCTTCCATATAATCAATGGGTAGAATGAGGGGTAGTTATATGGGTAGATGAATGTGATAGATGTTACATAAGATACAAAACACTAATTAATGGTTATATGAGTTATAAGAAACTAATGACCATGAGAGTTACAAGAATCAATAGTCATCTTCTACCACAATCTTTATATCCACTAACATATACACTTAATATTTTATTTTAATAACAAAATGCATATACACCAACACTAAAATTTCAAGAGAAAACTACTCATCATCACACAAATTCTTGTTTACATATTTTTTTAAGGAGAAAATGACATAAGTAGTCCCTCAACTATAGGAGTAGGTCAAAAATGGTCCCTGAACTATACACTTAACGGATTTAGTCCTTCAACTATTCAAAAACTTGTCAGTTTTGGTCCCTTAACTATACACTTTTCGATTTTAGTCCCTTAATTATAAACTTATCGATTTTAGTCCTTTAAGTATTCAAAAACTTATCAAGTTTGGTCTTTGTCCATTTTTTAAATACAAATAGCTTAGGTTTATATTAACAGAATATATGCCTCGAGAAATTAAATCATTTAGCAACTTTTTCTGTTGGTTCTCTCTCCATTACTTTTTCTTCAAATTAACCTTATGCGAAGAGCCTTAACCTCAACGATTTAAAATAAAATTCACTAGGAAAGAAAATATAAGTCATTAATTTTATTCAACAGAGGATAAAATGAAGCATATTATTGTTACTAATGACTTGAATATGTTAAACTTTATTATAAAAAGAAAAAGTTATTATCCGTTAAATCCAAAGTTTGTACTCCAACGATTTCATTGAACGGAATTTGTTTAATTTTTTAGAAATGATAATTTATAAAATGGTAGATTTGCAATTTTTTAAACTTTTTTTTAAAATAGATCAATTTTATTAGTCTATTCATTTTATTTTACGTAAAGAAATTTGAGTAAATTAAATAAAATTCGCATTGATTAGCATGATGCATGATAAATTTCTCAAACAAAAACTATCAAAGTTTAGGATGGTGCGTATTAAAAATCAAAGCTATTTGTATTTAAAAAAATGGACAAAGACCAAACTTGATAAGTTATTGAATATTTAAAGGACTAAAATCGGTAAATTTATAGTTAAGGGACTAAAACCGGTAAGTGTATAGTTAAGGGACCAAAGCTGACAAATTTTTGAATAGTTAAAGGACTAAATCCGTTAAGTGTATAGTTCAGCGACCATTTTAGACCTACTGCCATAGTTGAGGGACTATTTATGTCATTTACTCTTTTTTTAAGCATATCATCATACCACATTAAGGGAGGGAATTATTGAATATTTTATTGTGTGTAAAATGAATTTGATTAAGTTTTGAATAAAAAATGAAAAGAATTTTGTTTGGATGTAGACAACAACAACATACCCAGTGAAATCCCACAAAGTGGGGTCTGGGGAGGGTAAAGTGTACGCAGACCTTACCACTACCTCGTGGAGGTAGAGAGGCTGTTTCCGGTGGACCCTCGGCTCAAATACATCCAAACCAAGTAAGAGAAGAGGAAACATTATATAAACATAACATCCAATAAGAACAATAGTGCATAATCAACAACGGAGACAATAACATCAAGAAAATACTGTGAGGGGCAAAGCGCAGTAAAGGGCATATGACTATATGATCACAGACAAGAACTACAAGTGCCAGGCTAGGACTACTACAAACACTACCAACCCACACCCTCGCAAAGGAAGACAACACGCTAACCCTACTAACCTTCAACCTTAATACGCGACCTCCACTCCTTCCTATCTAGAGTCATGTCCTCGGTGATGTGAAGATGAGCCAAGTCCTGTCTAATCACCTCTCCCCAGTACTTCCTAAGCCTACCTCTACCCCTTCGCGTACCCTCTACCACCAGCCCCTCACACCTCCTCACTGGGGTGTCTGCGCACCGCCTCTTCACATGCCCAAACCATGTCTTTGTTTGGATGTAGACAGAAAGACATTTCTACTGTCGCTTGCTTACAAAAAAAGAGTTGAGAATTTGATCATATGTCTAATTGATTAATTGACTTTTAATTAATAAATATTATTTTATTTAATATATTTTTACTTTAAAAATAATTAAATCAAAACGATTTTCCACTTACCAAGAAAAGTTGAACAATCACCTTCAAAATAAGTTTCACTCCATTGAGTACTTTAATATATTTTTACTTTAAAAAATAAAGCATGATATAATTTTAAGAGTCAACTACATATTGAGTACAATTAATTTACTGCGATGAGATACAATTCACTTTTTGTACCTTGTGGGCGTGCAAAGGAGGATCAACACACTATGTTAGTGGAAGTTAGGGCGAGAAGTATCATTTTCGTTGTCATCCAAAATAAGTTTCACTCCATTGCTCTTAAGGCCATTAACTATACCCCAAACTTTTGTACGATTCTTGAAACCTTTCTTCTCAACCTCTTTATTTACATTGACATGGATCCCGTTTCCTTGCCCCTGATCAAGGCCCTCCACTTTGAGACGCATTGCCAACACCTCCCCTACAATCGCTGCAGCCTTTGCATTGCAAGTTCTACCGCACTCAAGTGACTGTTTCACTGAATGTTCAACGGTAGATGATGTTGCTACTATACTCCCGTTGTTTCTGTCTACCACATTTGCAGTGATGTACTTCAATGATATGAACAATCTCAACACATACCTCTTCAGCAATGTCATATTTCAAAAATCCAACCTGTTGGGGAGGAAATTCTGTTAGCGAGAGCATACATTTAGCATCTCTAGCAAACAGGTAAAACACCATTTTTTCCTTCTAAGAAAATATAAATCAAGTTCAATCTTTTGCGAAAATCAGAGAATACTCCAAAAGTCTTCACCCTAGTCAAATATGTCCAATAAGTTGAGACTACGAAGAACCTAAAGACTATAGAGTTTCTTCCATAATATTGGACCAAAGTCCTTTAAAATCTTGTTGCTTCCTACACCTGATGAATCGATACTTCTAAAATAACAAAAATTAGACGGACAAATTCTATAAGACTATAACTAAACAACAAAATCCGTCACTAACTGATGAATGATCGACAGATTATCATAAGATTCTGTAACTGCTAGTAGGCAACGTTCCCTGAGAGTAAGTTATTAAGCTCCACATCTCTTGTGTTGGTTTGCGAGCTATTGAACAAGAACAGGTTTAGCCCGTACACACCCAAATGGTTTCTCTAATAAATGAAACAATTTGGTACATTAATTGAAGCATAGAACTATTTCCCAAAGAGTTGAAAACTCACCATATGAGGATAAAGATTCCATCTTTACTGCCAAAACTTTTACTACACATCAATATTATAGGACATTAGAGAAGAATTGATAACTAACAAAAATACTCAAATGCAGATTGATACAACTTTGAGCCATCAGCTGAAATATAAGAGCTCTTATCTTTGTCACAGAATAACCATGGAAGTTTTCAGAAATTGATTACTTCGCATCCTAATTTTGGTGTTATAATTTTTCTTTTTGGGAAACCCGAGCAAACCAACCGCTGCTACCTCTTCGGGTGCACGCTGGTTAAATTCGATCATGTGCAATAGCTTGCAAACCACACCACACATGTAAAAAGCACGCACCATTGGGAAACCACTCACCCAAACTAAAAATGCATGATCGGAAAATTAAACTACAAAGAACATTACAAATTGAAGTTTAGCTATCTCTATACAGGGAGATGAGTATTGCAATACAAGTTACAAATCGGAGATTGTTCTCGGAGAAATTGAACTACAGAGAACAATACAAATTGAAGTTTAGCTATCTCTATGCAGGGAGATGAGTATTGCAATACAATTTACAAATCGGAGATTGTTATCGGAGAAATTAAACTACATAGAACAATAAAAATTGAAGTTTAACTATCTCTATGCGGGGAGATGAGTATTACAATACAATTTACAAATCGGAGATTGTTATCGGAGAAAACAAAAGGGAATAAAGCTATTGCCGCGTGAAATGAATATGTACATAGTAGGAGAGAGAGGAGGAACTTTACCAGTGATCTGCCGGAGAAAGAAACGGAGAGGAGGAAGTTCGCCGGCCGACGGTGAGTGGGCTGAACGCGCCGAAGCAAATTTAGCGCAATTTCAAATTGGGGGTGATATCTCTCGGAAAATTCGGGTCCAAATAACCCATTGATAGTATTTGGGCTTTGAGTTTGAAGTCCATTGAGCCTGTCTTGAATCTAATCAGCCCCAAATGTTACTCTCCTCATCTTTCTATAATTTTAAAGCAATAGAACTTACTTAAAAATTAAAAGTGTCAAATGACTATATTGAGTTGAATTTAAAAATAATTGAGTTAATAAATGGTCGAGTTACTATAACAATAATGACATATTTAACAAAATTTTATAAGTGGAATTTGAGAAGAATGGTGTGCATGTAGACCTAATTCATATCTTATGAAAGTAAATATATTGTTTTTGAAATATTCTCGACTAAAGTAAAATATATCAAAGTGGATTTGAAAAGAAAATACTATTTTGAAAATAAGAAGAAAGGAACGATAAGCAATATAATAACTAAAGAAAATGTAACAATAGGTAACAAAAAAATAAATAATAAAATAGTAGAAGTGTAATAATAACAATAACAATAACAAGTAGATATATTGTTTTTGAAACATTCTCGACTAAAGTAAATTATATCAAAGTGGATTTGGAAAGAAAATACTATTTTGAAAATAAGAAGAAAGGAACGATAAACAATATAATAACTAAAGAAAATGTAACAATAGGTAACAAAAAAAGAAATAATAAAAATAGTAGAAGTGTAACAATAACAATAACAATAGCAATAACAATAACAATAAGGAACTTAACACCTTATAATATCTACTTACCTTTTACCCTAATTTCCATATTTAAATTTTTCTATCTAAGCTCATGTCCTCGATATGTTGGAGTTGCGTCATGTCTTGTTTGATCATTCTATCAAATACTTTTTTCGAACAACCTCTACCTCTCTTCAGGTTTGCCATTGCCAACATGTTACACCTCTTTCTTCTTAGAGCATATGTGCATCTCCTTTTCACAAGTTTGAACTATTTGAGCAACGATTTTCTCTACTTTAACACCAATGAGACCACTCCCACCTTGTGTCAAATATCATCGTTCCTATTCCTATCTGTCATCGTATATGCTCATACATCCATCTTAACATACTCATTTCCGCTACATCCATCTTCTAGATATGCAAGTTCTCGGTGGACCGAAATATTAATTACATTTGAATATGTGGATCAAGGTGGGGCCACATCTCGATTTAATTGTAGATCCATTTGAAATCGATAAATTCTAACTAGACATGGAGAAATCATTATATGTAAGGGATGTTTGATACGATCATTTTAACAACGAAGGTAAAATTAACCAAATAAACACAACGAAGAACAAAATTAAACATTAAATCAAAGTATAATGATATATTTGACCCTTTTCCCTATATCCTATTCTATAAACACCACTAATTTTGTGGTTTCCCCATATTATTATCATTTATAAGTGTCTTATGGGCCAATAATGGGCTCAAGGCCCAAAAAAACAATGTAAAATTAGGTCAGCCCAAAACCAAAACCCACCGTCCACTAGGAATGGCAAATGGGAGGAGCGAGGCAGGTGCGGGTTAAACCCCGCAAAATCTTTACCCCGCTCAGCATAGCACAATTATTTTTTCTTACCCCGCCCTGCCGCCCCCGCTCCACATGAACCGCCCCGCCCATAGCTTTAATGTTCTTTTGTACCTATTTAAATCACATGAACTATTCAATGCCGGCATCTGGAAGATTAATATATTGCCATCTGGATTATAGCTTCTTATGGTCTAGTGTGCTGAATGAATATAACTTCTGCCTTGTATAGTGATACATAAGGTCAAAATGTGGTAACAGAGACAGTTAATCAAATGGGTTCATTATGGATATTGGTCTGTTAGTGGATGTTAGGATATCTGATATTTGCAGAACAATAAAGTAATGAGAGGTGCTAGAATCACTGTTATATCTGGTCTTTTGAGAGGTGCTAGAATCACTGTTATTCATTCACCAAATTTACTAAAAATCTTTAAAAGCACTAACATCTTTCAACTCACATCGTTATACTTGTAAAAAAAAAAAATGTAAAAATTCTGCACAAACTATATGGACAGACAAGTTGAAACACCAAAACTGATTCTGAACATATATTCAAAACAATTTGACTAACTATCCATCGCTAATGTAAACTTGATTTGGTAGAAGATGAAGAAATTCAAATTGAAAAACAAAATGATGCGTACCGATAAATTGGGAAAGAAATCGAACTAAGCCTAAAGAGCAAATTTACTAATTGCTCTTGAACAGCTGGTTCTGTAGAACAGAGGAATTGAGAAGAGAAAGAGAGAGAACTGTTTATTGATCCTTTACAATTCGATACCTTTACAATTGGGGTTGATCTCCTATTTATACACGTGAAGTAAAACAGACTCCCATAGTTAGTTATAACTAACTTGGCTACAGTGTTAACCGACTAACAACTAACACGTGCGACTCACATGACCACTAACCGAACTAACGACTTATTTATTAATTGGCACATATCAATACTTCCCCTTTGAGACCATCCTTGTCCTATTACCAAATATGGCGCGACTCGAGAGTGAAAAACTCTTGCGTACTGCTGTAGCGAGAAATCCTCGTCTTTCTATGGTAGAGTTGTAAAATCTATCGCTTCGTCTTGCTCGCTGTAGGATGGTGTACAACACCGATCCTAGTATGACTACTCTGTCATGGATTCACAGTAGTACAGCATGCTCTACATTCTTTTCCGGAATGTGCTTCAATTGGTTAGTCATGTTGCTCTATATTACTTATGATTTTACTTATCAAATAGGTCACACTAAGATTGAGAACACCAAAAGAACACTCTCTTTACCCACTGACCAGCTAATGTACAATGACGACCGATCCATAAGCTACTTGATATATTCTCTTACTTACTTATGCTGTTTGTTTGACAAACCGTCTTCGTCCTCAATTCAGTAATTTACTTTCTTCTTAGGAGAAGCAGTTCTGGTTTATTCTGGCCTAGTTATCTACTTTGGAGACATGTTTGCCTGTATTGCTGCTAAGTCAGTTCGAGATTTTTTTTACTTCTTCGTTGGCTGTTGATATAGTTAACCTTAATAAGGAATATTTCTGTGTACAGACTCACATGTACTTTACAGCATCTAAGATAGTCTCTGCATCATACGGAATCCAAAAAAGTGAGATCAGTATTGTCATTCAGGTATACTGAAAGTTGTTTATTAAGTTTAGGTATCCTCTCTTGATATATAGAGGAAGAATAGGCTGTTATGTGTTTCATTAGATCTACTTGACTCCTTTTTGAAGGCTCTAATTTATTCTACTACTTTGGGAGTCGAGGCCATTTGTCCGCGTAGGCAGGGTGCTCTGAAGGATAAACCAGAACATGAGTACTAGAAAAGGAGAAAAACAAACTTGAAATGAGAACTTCTCCAAGATGTTGGCATGACATTATGTGCTTGTTTGGTCATCTGATGCATTCACATAGTCGATTAATGCTGACATATTGAAGTAGCTATGCTACATTATTTCCCGAGAGCTAATTTTAGTGATTTAACATAGACAGTCTGTTGATATGACAAATGAAAACAATGAATTTCTCCTCTTCAAATTTATAGGATTTCTCTCACTTGACAGTTTTTTTTCGTTCGGTTAGCATAGTATTAGAGCAATGACATGCCTTTGTATAGTCTATGGCGACGTGTTACCCTATGGGTTGCTTTCATTACCCTCATTTCTTTGTTGTTGTATCAATTTGTGAATGATAAATGTTGGCGTTGATGATCAGTATCTTGAAGAATTTTGGACATCTTAGCGGTAAGTATGTGTTAGAAGAGCAGAAATGGACAGAGCTGTAATGTATTGGACAGGCAGTTTATATGCTTTCCTTGAATGTTTATCTTTTTTCATGAGCGCTTATAGAATTGATGGTGATTAGTCTCCAACGTGGTGGCTTAGCGCGGCTGAAGAATTGAAGTAACAACCTTAGAAACCAATATTTTGTCCTAGTAGAGGAAACACTAGGTAAGTCCTTATACTTCGCCTATATCGAGGTAGGTAGAGTTATCTTGTACATATACGGTTGAATTAGTTGAGGTGCATTCAAGTTGGCATGGCTCCTTGATTGAAAAAAATGATGGTGATTGTTGTCTTCTTATTGGGGTTGTTTAAGTGGAGAAATGTAGAAGAGCAGGCCAACTATCCACTGAACTTTGAAACTGGGAATAGCGGATTCTCGGTTATCCAACAACAACAACATGACCTCCATCTCAAACAAGTTGTGGTCGACTGTATGAATCCTCACTTCTCCATTTGACCTCAATATATGGATCTTTTTCTTCGAATATGTGCCCTATCTTTAGCTAAGTTTGCATTGATCTCAAGATATTGTAGGTCTTTCGATACAACTTACTTCCATCTAATTGTAGATCTACCTCATCCCCTTTTAATACCTTCACTCACTATATTATCACACCTACAAACTGCTGCATCTCTGTAGATTAATGCATAACATGACCAAACCAACTCAAGATTCTACTTGCACCTTCACACAAATGTGATCATCTTTACTCTCATCTAATCTTGTTTAACTGCACGTCTATCCTTAGCATCCGCATCTCTACAACAGTGCCTGTCTTATGTGATAGATGCGTTATCCGGAAAAGAGAGAGACCCAGATGGAGGCCATTTAGTCTCAAGTCTAAACTAAAAATTGGAGTTTTGTGCTCTTTCAAGCTGAAGTTCTTGATGAATCCCATGTAGGTTTGGTCAAATTCGAACAGTTCAAATCGATATTTTTACAATTTCTAGTGTTGTTTCAGAATTATGCCTTTGTGACAGATATGGAGAATTTCGCCCTTAGGACGTCCAGCTTGTGCACCAGTTCATGAATGCTTTTACAGATCATCGCCACTCATATATTCTTATTGTCAGCTTGTGAAATTCATCTTCATATAGACTTTGTTAAGTACCAATTGCTTGTTTTTCATCTTTCAGTCGCTTTTCGCTGTTACTGGGATGTCCAATTCCTATGTGGTTGTCTTCTAGTTT